CCAATTCATTCTTTTCACTTTCTATTCTATTATTAGCTATAATCAAAAAGAAATTTCCATCATCTGCTACTAAAAAATAATAGCTTTCAAAGTTTAACAAAAAAAAAACTCTTTTCTCCTATCTTAAGACGCTGTTATTACCACAATTTTGAGAGGAATTAGACCTTGCCTTAGCCTCTTAAACACCTAGTTTTGAACTTTTAACCAGTATTTCTGTCCAAACAAGTCTCTCATGTCTTATTCCTATTTTTTGTCAAGCATATCAATTTAAAAAAAGGGTGCCTAGTATTTGGCACTCGTTTCAATTCAATGATAAATTGGTTATGTTTCCACATTTCAAATTATGACTAATGCAATGAACAAATGACTTAATTTTTTTCTATGGACAAAACTATGTAAAACCAACTAAGTTGTAAAGGTAGCAGAGTCAATGATGTAGGCACTGGATCCCAAATAACTAACATGAAGGTAAGTAATGTTTCTACAATTTTAGAAGACAATATGAAATGGTCAAAACCTCGATGGCAGTTTCTAAAATTATCCCAATAATATAAGGAAAAGGGAATATTGACCCAAAAAAATCCTTTCCAAGTTGTGGCTTATATCACATGAAATACTTGTGTCACGGTTGCATAACATAGTTGTATCACCGTCCAATAGGCTCCGATTGTATCTCAACTTCTAGCAGAACTGGCTATGCTCTAATTTCTGCAGCTTCATGGAAAATTTGAGGTTATTTAATTACACGTTACCCCTCTAAATTGGGTCTACTTTAAATATGTACACTGCAGCACCTACTATGATCAATCAAAGAATAGAGATAATCTTCTTTTGTTTAGAGATTTCAATGATAATGACATTAAAGGCCACCGATAATGGCTGTATGAACAATATGTTACCCTTTACATGAGTACATAAAGTATTTACTAGGTGGAGAAATAACATGCTGATGTGACATGTATGCAACGCGCCTCTCTCTCTAAATTATCAAGTTAGGTGGATGCAGCAATATACGATCAGAAGATGCTGGGAGAAAAGTCTTGAATATTCGCATATGACCAAATCACATTAAGCTATGTTTTCTCTTTTTTCAGATGCCGTTTCAATACGCAAACCTACCTTTATCTAAAATATATAAAAGGGGAAGGGGGAATAGCTATAGTACAATCATAGGTCGATTTCGATGATAATTCTGATGGCTTCGTGGGTGTCTTGGTCTTTCCACCGCGCATGACCTGCAATGTGTTCTTGCCTCTTCCGTCCTTCTATTATTGCTTCTGTTATTACAATCACAAATCAGATATGTTAGATATTATAATGGCCAACAAAGATATTGCGCTTTAATGGCCCTGCACCATCCCTGCTTTAGTTGTCGTCTGTCTTCAGCCTTTCCTCTGTCCGTGTTGCCATCGTTGTGCAGCACTCATGCAATACAAACTACACCCATGGAATAGAAAGATATATAAAATGGAATATATTTACCTTATTATCCTTGTATAACCTTTACTTTGCTATTCCTGCCCTTATACTTTATTTTCATAACATAAGTTCAATGTGCCTTTTAAAGTGTTTACCCTTACGGTACATTTGTCCATGTGTGTGTTCCACGTACTTTGTGCTCGAGTGTCTGCCTTTGTGCAACAATTTGAATTGGTCATTTCTTACACAATTTGAATTGCTCATTAATTAGTGACAGTGATTGTTTAACAACTACTCCTTTTTAATTAGTTATATTTTAGATATTTGTCATTTTTCAACCCACTACACATTTTTTTCCTTCCTTACAAATTATCAAGGTTCTATATGTGTCGTTTTTCAACCCACTATACATTTTTATCCTTTCTTACCAATTACTCCCTCCGTCCCGAAAAGTTTGTCACTTTACGGGACTCCAACTTATTATCAACAGTGCTCAATTTTTGAAAAATTCATCCGTGTTTTTCATGTTACCCTTCGTTTAAACACAAAAGCTGCAGAATAGATGGTCAAAATGTGATAGTGGGATCCATATGTTTATTGATTGGCATGTGACTTATTCTAATTTGAAGTAGAGTGTGAAGCCACGGACAACAATCATTTCACGTTGGTTGGTGCGTGCAAAACCATCAACTAAACTGGAAAAGTTGCAAGTCTTGACGGAAGACTTTTTGGCCATAATAACACCTGTTTTTTAGTCAGGTGAGACAGGGGTAAGTATCGGAAATTATTGATAAAGTTTACAATCATTTTTGATAAGTGATAAATATTTTGGGACAGACCAAAATAGAAAGCATGACACTTTCAATGGGACGGAGGGAGTATCAAGGTAATTTCTTTATCTCAGACCTATTATCATACCGTCTGAATTTTTTCCCTTCATGCTTTTTGTCCCTCTTTTATACATATTTGCTTTTAGTATTTGTCTTTCCTTCTAGCACTGCTGTTTATGTTTCATTTCTTTTTCCTTCTGTAAAAAACCACCCGCTCAGTACCCGTCTTTGTGTTCCTTGCTCTTCATGTTCTTTTTGCTCCTCCGCCTGACGTGACTTCCATCTGGGTACTGTTATAGTTCCAGCAACGAATATTTTATCTATTGCTTTTTTTTCTTTTTACGTATGCTAGCCATTTGTTTTTCGTTTCTGCCTGTCTTCTGTTTTTTCCCTCATAATTATTTGTATTCTTTTTCTCACTTCATTGAACATCCAGGTTTTATTAATTGCTGAAAGTGACCAAGAGGAAGCAGTTCTTTTCCACCAGCTCTTTCTATTCACCGAAAGTTAGCAACACAAACCAGTTTCCTTCCACGCTAACTGGTATGCATATAACTCTTACCTATAACTCTTACATCATACGTTTCGCTTTTCTTGTCAGCTCAATTGCCAAAAATCATGCCATCATCTTTTGCTTATTATTTCCTCGCTATGCATGTAATCCTTAGCTAATGTCTATAATTTTTGCCTAACTTATATGTGAAAATGATATGGCCATCCTTCTGTTAGGTGGATGCAGCAATATATGATCAGACGATGCTGAGAGAAAAGTCTTGAATATTCGCATATGACCAAACCACCTTAAGCTATGTTTTCTCTTTTTTCAGATACCGTTTCAATACGCAAACCTATCTTTATAATGAGAATAAATGTCAATGCATGCGACAGATTGATGCATAGATTTTAGAGTTTCATGCAGTGGTGGAGCTAGGATAACTTTCCAGTGAGGGCACAAATGATAGAAAAATATTTTAATTTTGCGAGAAGTATTTAATACAATAATAATATTTACAAATCAAATAGCATATGCAGTCAATAAATATGCAAAACACGCAAGGAACCTCTTAATGCGCTATGACTGAAAAGACAAAATCTTTTAGCATAACAAATCCATTCATAGGCTACGAAGCCTTAAAATGTAGTATTAGTACTACATTCATAATAAAGGGATATATGTATTATGTTTGTTATTATTATTTTAAAAATTTTTCTTGTAAATGATGAGATTTAAGAAATCAGGAGGGATTAGAAGCCAGAGCCTCCTCTAAGTTCTAGGGGTATTTTATTTGTTATTTATTTTTTCACTGTCTATATAACTATAGAATTACTTGCAAATATACGAGTTGATTTTTACAATTACTAGGAATAAAAACAAAATTTTTCTTAAACTTAATACCTTAAATGAACAAGTTCATTTGGTCAAAGGGGGCTCGCTTACATATGAGTGGGGTTAAAAAACATTCTTTGAACTTTTTCATATACAAAACTAACTTGTTGCTTTGGCCAATAGGGACACGTGGTATTCGTATGTACGCCCTAAAGATTAGGATCTTTTTTATACAATTTAATTATTTATATTTATTGAATGGCATTTGTCTTATTAATTATCTCGATATTTCAATTAGTATAAACGATACATACATTAATGTAATAATAAAGTATCATAATTATGACAAATATTAACTGGGATTTATTTTAAAGATTTATATTTATAGTATTAATAAATGAGAAACTATTAATACAAATAGATTTTTTTTTATCTGCCAATCATATTTGGCGTGTGGATTTCGATGCCTATTTTATTAATAACGAAATTAGGAAAAAGTACAACGAAGGAGGGGGACATAAAGCCTTTACCTCCTGATATAGAATCTAAAATTACATATACCTATCTTGTCTAAACAAAATAAATCCTTAGCTAATGAAGAAAAATCAGAACTCAATTTGTAAACGTCAAATTGCCCATGTTGAATCCAAGAAGCTACCAAAGCTTCTGCAACATCATTTGCCTCACGGAAACAGTGGAACACTACGGATCCCTCTTAACTGTTGCCCGAATGGCTGCCGGAATCTGAAACCTTCCTTCCAATACCCCAACTAGAACCAGCGAGTCTAGTTCCTAACGCACCTGTGATCTTCCATATTTCTAGCAAAGCTGAAGACCAACTAAAAGTCTAAAAGAGCACGCGCCTCCGCTTGTAAAGAATTTGTCTTGCCAAAGAAATCTGAAAATGCACCGAATTCAATCCTTACAGTTCCTCCTCCACTACCATGGTTCGCTATCACGGGTCACGGTCGCATCGCGGTCTCGATTATTCCACATCTGTTGTGGCATATCGGTTGAATATCGGGTGATACACACATTATAGCACATGAAAGTTTTCAAAAATTTTTAAAAAATTACTAAAATTAGAAAAATACCAAAAAGGTATAATTTAAAAAATATCTGAGTTGACTAGAATATATCAAACGGTATCATGCATCACAAATTCGAATCGGCCAATAACGATCGAGTCAGAGCGAGTCATCGTGGATATAGTAATATCCACAATTTAGGGATCGGTATTGTATCTGTCCCCTCCATTCCGATTACGACTAGGCCGATACGTATCGGTATCGGCCGATATTGCGAACCATATCAACTAGTAACACCTTGCAACACAGCCGAACCACCTGTATTCAGTTTAGCAAACTCAGGAGACGGAAATTGCCACTTAACCATTTTAGAGAGCACCGGTGGCCGATGATATGTCAGTGCAGTAATGACATCTCTCCAATTAGCATGCCAATGACACGTTTTAATGGAACCACCACATCTTGAACCACCAAATGAAAAATCTGCACGACAACAATCCTCCTACTAAAACCGTACCACCTTCTCAAGCATGGCAGGTATCTTGATTGGCTCCATCTATAAGAGTAAACTGTGCTTTAATTGCAATCAAAAAGTGAAAGGCAGTATGCAGTAAGTACCAATTATTGCAAGTAGAACAGCCCGCACCACAACTAGGTGTGAGTAAATGCTGCAAAAGACATACTCTGCTCTCAATGCCGCAGTAAAATTGTCACAATTTGGTCCCATCATTTTTGGTTTAGCACTATAATACTCCCTAAACTTTACCAACTCCGAAGTTTAATTAATAAGTTTAGCTATTCACTGTTACTATTAACTGAATTGTAAGTCTACATTGCCCTTGCTAGTCCATTTCACAGTCACGGATTGTATTTGACCTACAAAGTACCACGTAGAAGATTAGAATAGCAAAAGAAAGTGTGAAAGGGAAAACAGAAGAAAGCCTAACAAGCAAAAACAGAAAAAAGCACTGATTTTCAGAGTAAAATTGGTTATAGCAGAGTTAATGGATATTAGTAATGGTTGATCTTCAGCTATGGATTTAAGAAAAAGAAGCAATTATGCAATACATTATAACAATTCAGATCTGACAAACAATTATGGAATACTATCTATTACATCTTCAAGAAACAACTTCAAGGAAGCATAGGATGATCCTCCTCCATTTAGAGTCAACCTGCTCTTGTCTCTGATTTCCTTTACCTTGTCTCTGATTTAATCCCTCTTTCAATCACATCTGCACTCAAAATCTCACTATTCACACCCAGTACGAAATCCCTTTTGAAATCTATTTTGATCTCCACTGTCGTTGCCAAGTCCTTCACCATTAAGAACGCATTCATCTGCTGCTCAGCATAAAGTGGCCATGTTGCCACTGGCACACCGCACCAAACACTTTCCAATATTGAGTTCCACCCACAATGAGAAACAAAGCCTCCCACAGCAGGATGGGATAGAACTGCCGCCTGTTGTGCCCATCCAATAACTTTTCCAACGGCTGCAGTTCGTTGCAAGAACCCTTCTGGCAAGACTTCATCCAGGTTCTCATACTTACTTGGAAACTCAAAATTTTCTTTAGGTGAAGGCCTTCTCAATGACCAGAGGAATCGATATCCACTGCGCTCGAGTGCATAGGCAATTTCCTTCACTTGGTCACCGTCAAAACTACCTCCACTACCAAAGCAAAGGAACACAACAGAACATTCTGGCTGAAGATCGAGCCATTTCATAATCATCTCAGTTTCTTGATTTTGACTATTGCTTCCCTTCAGATTCAATACAGGCCCTACTGCATATACTGGTGGGACGGTTTTATCATTGCTCAAGGGGTGAATCGCATGGGATTCTAGCTCAAGGAAAGTGTTAACTATGATTCCCTTGGTCTCCTTGAATCTTCTGACCTGATTGAGGATTATGCCGCCAATTCCTTCCTTGTCAAAGAGTCCCAGAGGCAAAACTTTAGCTGGAACAGGATTGATGTAAGTAGGCACAGCTAAATGAACGTCCGAATTCTCATAACGTCTCAAATCTTGTTTGAGATCATCTCTCAGACTTTGCAAATGGAATATAAGGCCAAGCATCGCAGCACCAGATGTGTAGAATATATAGCAAGGAACTCCAAATTCATTGGCTACATCAATGAAGGAGATACTAAAATCGTAGATGAAGATAAGGTTTGTAAATGTAGACAACCAAAACTACCAATGCCCGTGATGGGGTATTTTTGACGTGCGAGTCCCTCCATAATTTCAAAATTTTCCTTTATCTTTAATCCCCACCATTATTTTTAAAGGATTTACTACAATTCCTTTTGATATCATAACGTTAGAGTCGTTTGAATTGCTATTTTCTGGAATTTTTGCATAAAAAAATATACAGTAACAATTCGATATATGTGAAGTAAAAAGACAAATTAAAAAATGCGTTCATGAAAAACATAAAAATTTTTTGGAGAAAAATTGCAATCCAAACAAGACCTAGATTAGATTTTTCCATTGAAAGTGCGTTTGGATTGAAGATTATTTCACTTTATTTACACTTTATTTACACACACTGATTTGCTTGCATCATCAATACATTTTCCAATCACTTTTTTATCTCACATACATCATATAAAAAAAGGTGCTACAGTACTTTTTCACAAATTTATCTCAAATAATTTACAATCCAAAATTATCTCAAATAAGAGATCATTATTGAGGATACAAATCTAAAAGCAAGTTTCCATAATAGATCATAAAATTTTCCTTTCAAATGATAGAATCACGTCCAACAATTGCCGCAAACCTCTGGTGATCCAATGCATCAGTCATTTTTAATATCAGTTATAGGTGATTGTATGCACACCAACTATGAATATAAACATTATAACAACCTTTGGTTATAAGAAATACCATTTACCTAAATGTCTCTTTATATTTTCTAAAGTATTGCCAAATTTTGAGGGATAACTTTAGAAATTTTCCCTGAGATTTTTGATAATATCATTTAGCACCCTTGAATTTTGAGAGATGTCATTGACCTCCTTTTTTTCAACATATTTCAAGACATATGAGTAAAAATATATTAATTCAAGGCAAAAAACAAAGACAAAAAAATGCATGAAGGCATAAGTTTGATGTGATAAAATATACCAACAATGACTATCAGCAGTATGTTTTTTTGAGGCCCAAAAAAATTAAAAATTTATTTGAAATGTGGTTAAGGTTTGGTGCCCTAAGGACGCTAGATGAGGAATGAGCCCGGTACTATTTTTTAAAAGAAGGTAAAATTCTCATGTGAAAGTGTTGCAATTCAAGAGGTGGGCACTAATTTAAAAACTTTAATATGGATCCAATTTCATTTTTTATGTGCTTATCGTGTGCCAATAGAGCATCAAATAACTTTCTTAAATGTATAGGCATTTTGGTTAACCGAAGGAGTTTTATAGTTGTTTAGAATCTTAAAATTCTTGTTATCCCAATCAATGGCTTGAGTATTAAAAGGAAAAAGAAAAGTTCTGAAAATTATACCAAAAAACTTATTTGAGATTTTTCTTAAGGTACAAACAGCTACTTTCTTAATCTTTATAGCTTTTTAGGTCATATTTATGAAATTTGTAATTTTTGTAGAAGTTTGAATTTTGTATCCAAATCATAACACAAAAACTATTAAAGAATCACTCTACCCAGTTAAAAACTTATAATTTCACTTAACGAATTACATTGGTCAAGTTTTGAAATATTGAGGGATTAAATTTGTATGTTTTGACAATTAAAGAACCACAAGAAAAGGGCAATTTTCTGAAACAAGTTATCTTCTCTCTTAAAATAAATATTCTAATGATATATTTTAAAATGGGTTGAGAATGTAAAAAAAAAAGTTTAAAATAGGGGAATTCAATGATATTTTTAAAATTTTAAGGGTGCTAAATAATCTTGTTAGAAACCATAGGGATGGTTTATGAAATTATCCCAAAATTTATTCCTGATCCTTTTGCGTTGTTGGCAGCCATCGTAATGTCCATTGTAATGTCTAATTCTCTACAACTTGTGGATGTCTCAACCCAGGCCAAGTCTACATCTTATCCAAATTCCAAAGAATACCCACTCCAAGTCTGCATCATATCCATAGAAATGCGGAGTTCCAAGATTTTTGGTATATTGGGGCACAATAATATAAGGAAAGGGAACATATTGACTCGAGATGGAGAGTGGTAGGAAAAGTTATCGATGTAAGTATTTCTAAATGATGTAAGAGTACTTTAACAAGTTGTAATTCATCAGTAAATAACTTGTACATCTTTATAATAGAAATGTTAGGGGAAACACCTCGAGAGAATCCATCAAAAAACCCAATATGTAAGTCAGGAATCCAACTCTAACCCAAAAGCTTAAGTTATTAGGTCTTAGTCCCTTACTTATATATTAACCGCTCTTATCCATCCCTCGGATCACTGTGGAACACAATCCTTTAGTCATGAATCTAACAAATCTCCCTCTTTATGAGTAACCCCCACATTAAATCCAAATATATAAGCCCTTTTTTCTAACCCACTTTAATACTTAATGCAAGTCCACCTTTATCACCAAGGTCACATCTTCTCTCAAACATGGACCCACTATTCTTCAGCATCTAAACTGCATTCTGAACCCCTGCCAACCCTTGGCTTCTTGGTCTAACATCAACCGGACCCCCTGCCAAACTCATGGCACACCTAGTCCAACACCAACCGAACTCCTTGACACTTCGGTCTACCATCAAGAAGAGAATTTTCACCTGGTCCAACTCCAAGAAGAATCTACTTGCCCATGAGTAGCCCAGTCTCACAACCTGAAGCTCTGATAGCAATTTGTTAGGGGAAAACACCTCGAGAGAGTCCACCAAAGATCCCAAAATTTAAGTCAAGAACTCAACTCTGACCCAAAAGTTTAAGTTATTAGATCTTGGACCTTTACTTACATATTAACCACTCTTTTTCCATCTCTCGGATCAATGTAGGACACAATCCTTTACTCATGAACCTATCAAAGCTTCAGGTTGCGAGATTGGGCAATGAGCAAAATTCGTGGTTGGATCCTAATTAACTATTGAGATCAAGAGGATTGGTAACTGTTACTAATTGAACAATTTAACGAGTGATATCTTTGTTTCAATGACTTGACAGAAAACATTGATGGTGAAGGATGAAAAGTCGAAAAGCATGGAGATACTTGACGATGAACCTAGACAAATAATTTAAGGGTCAAGGAAAAGGTGGAGACCAATGTTGATTTTGGACGTGAATCGATGGAGACTTTCTCACATCTCCAACAGTCGATACTTCATCCCGGTGAATTTTAGATTTTGATTATGTTTTTTGGACGGTATGGCACGTGTCCCAAAAAAATAAAGAGATCTAATTTTCATGCGCCAGAAGACTCTGATAGTTACGAGTTTTTTGTTTTAGGCGGAGTCTTGGAAACCATACATGGCGAGACAATCCTGAGGATGGGAAGAAGTATGGTAATTTTATCACTTGGTTGCTTCAATGATCAGGGTTAGAGCTCATAGAAGGGGATCCCAGATTGTAAGTGGTGGTGAGAAGAAATCCTGCAAAGGGAGATGCTGAATTGAGACACTTTCTCACGAGTCAACTAAAAGTTGGACTCGGGGTAACTACACATGTTCATTTGCCGATTGAATCAATTTGGTGTTAGGACTGTATTGATTCAGGTGTGTAGTTCGATACCATATTATTTGGTAGTTGAAGACAAATGGTTGCTAAAAGAAATTTTCGTCAAGGTGGAGATTTGTTAGGAAATTGGCTTAATTTCTTTTAGATAGAATTCTTGTTTTGTGTGGAAATAATTAGTTTCCTAATTGGTTTTAGTTACTTGAAATAGTAGTCAAGGAATATTCTATTTAGTTTAGAATTAGAAGTTATTTCCTATTCTATGCAACTCTAGGAATTAGAATTGATTTCCTATTATTATTTGGGTTTTGACCAAATAATGTTCTCTATAAATGGGTCGGTTGGTATACTACAAAGAGACACGCAAAGGCATACAGGAGACAACATGTAGCTTTATACATGGGGTGGTGAAAGAGGGTTCTTGGGAGATAAGAGATGTTATACAAGGGTTGGATTTGGATTCAAGTTGTATTCTTGTATAAGGTTTTCCTCTCATAATAAAGTACGGGTTTCTCTCCGTGGACGTACACTCAATGGTGGAGCCGAACCACGTTAAATATTGTGTGTTGTCTATCTCTCATGCTTGTGGCTTGTTCAAATTGTTGTGTACTTGATGTCTCAATAGTTGTTTGTTCCGTGTTTGGATCCTAACAAGAAATTTTTAAAATATAACAAAGAAATTACATTTTACTACTATTCATATCAGTCCGCACGTGATAGTTATATTAGACTTACGTGTTATTTTCTGATTCTTACAACTCAAAATTTTTTTGCCTTGTTAACAAATTTGGATCGATGAATTATTAGGGTTCACAATCGTCCCTACACTCTGTCCAACCTAAGATATCCCGCTTGAAGTCATGGTACCTGATTCACGATCAAATCAATATAGTTGCGTCACTGTCCAGTAATTAAGTCATGCAATTATTTCAACTTTGAGGAGGATTGGCTTAGCTCAACCTTCTACAATTTAATGGATAAACTGACGTTAATTTACGCTTTGCCCCTCTAAATTGGGTCTTAGAAACAATTTGCCTTCCAAATATTTTGAGTATATACAGTTGAGCTCCTACAATGACCAATCAAAGAATATAGATAATGTTTTATCCAAAAATTCAATGATAATGACATTAACGGCCAAGTATAATAGCTGTATGGTCAAAGAATAAAAAATATTCTAGGAATCTTTAAAATATGCAACGCTCCACTCTCTGTTTCTAAATTATCAAGTTAGGGTGGATCCAATAATATTCATTGATCAGAAATAGTTGAGAGAGAACATTTGAGTGTTCTCATTTCTCACACAAGAAAACCAAACCTAAAGCTATGTTTTTCTTTATTTATGTTTTTTTCAATATTTGTGTTGGGATAGGAGATTGGTTTAAATGTTATTTAGAATAATTATTGTAGCATTTTTTAAATGATCTGATGTATGTGAAATAAAAGATAGCTTAAAAAATAAAAAAATTGAATTTTATGATGCAAACAAATATTTTTTTGTAAATAATGCCTATTCAAATGCACTTGTTTTGACACTCAAAACAACCTTTATAATGAGTAGGGGTGGGCAAAAAAATCCGAAAATCCGAAAACCCGAGAGATCCGATCCGATCCGCACCGAAAAATCGGATACCCGATCCGATTTCAATCAGCGGATCAGATAGGGTCGGGTACCCTAAATATTCGGATACGGATACGGATCGTGAAAGTGAAAACCCGCGGGTACCCGACCCGGGGGTATAATATATAAATATTAAAAATATAGGGATAATTGTATAATATTTTAAGTTATTAACCCTAAGTTCCTAAGCTAAATCAATCCATCGGTCATCCATTCAGAGTTTAGCCTCAGCTTCAGCCGACACTCTTCCGTCTTCACTCATTTCATTTTCTTCTTCTGCTTCTCGACCTCCTTTGTCCATCTCTTCAATTTTGTCAAGTTGAACTCAAGCCTGCAAGCCTCAGCCCTCAAGCAGACGATTCAACAGTGTTTCGATTTCGATTTCTCAAGCCTCAAGCAGAAGCTGTAAAACGCCGACCTTCTTCATCTGCAAGTTTGGACCTTCTTTAATTGATGGCTATCCAGCTTCTTCAGGTGATGGTGTATATTACGTGTAGGTTTGGACTTTATTAAAATTTTGGTTGAAGTGATTACAGTAC